CACAACAAACAACAGCAACAACCCAGGACAGACAGATGTGTGCAGGCTAGGCCAGGCCAACAAGTTTGCCATCTTTGGCTAAGGTATCATTATTTCCACTTTACACAGGAAACTGAGGGGGTAAAGGGACCTATCTCAGGAGTATCTCTGAGATCTTTGAGATCTAGGCCATGTCTTCCCCTCTGTCTTCACAGATGATTGCAGGGGAGACAACAGTTACCTAGTGCTCTGTAAGCACTTAGCGACAGCTGGTTTTTGAGTTCTTAGGAAACCCACTATGTTAGAAAATTCTAGAATAATGGAAAGATAAGAATGAGACTTCTCTCTATCATAAGTCTGGAGGTACACAGCTCAGACCTGGTGTTGTGGCTTCACAGTCTCAGGAACAGGCTGGAGCCAAGTAGACCCGATCTGTCCTCTGTCACACTTCACCTTCACACCTGCAGGAAGGAAAGGCCACTTCGTCTTGCCCAACTATGGTGAGATAGGAGATAAGTACAGATGGGCTGTATCTTCAATCTCAGTTCCAACATCAGCTTTGATGTTACAACAGTGATCATCAATGGCCCCTCAAATATGTTTTGGCCTTGATTACAAGGGCAGCATTTTACACATGCTTAAGTGTATTCATTTCTAAAATGTGAAAATGTTTATTTTGAGACAGGGTCTCGTTGAGTTGCTGAGGGTCCCAAACTTGGAATTATCTTGCCTCAGCCCCCTGAGTTGCTGGGAATACAGGCATGTGCCCAGCTGGGAGTTTACTTCTTTTTGATGAAACGGCATAGAATTTGGCCGGCAGGCAGCGTAGGCAGCTAATTGTATGTTGCAAGATTGTCAGGGGCCCAGATTTCTTCTATCTTGATCTTCTATATGTAGACTTTAGTAGGATGTTTTTGGCCTGCACGTGTCAGAAAACTCAACTCTAAATGATTCACCTAGCAAGATGATTTGTTATTTAATCTTGAGTAATTTCTAGATAGGTGACAGCGTTGGCTAACTTTATGACCCAGAAACGCTATCAAGGAACAGGTTTCTGGGGCTGGGGATGTGGCTCAAGCGGTAGCGCGCTCGCCTGGCATGCGTGCGGCCGGGGTTCAATCCTCAGCACTACATACAAACAAAGATGTTGTGTCTGCCGAAAACTAAAATAAACAAATAAATAAAAATTCTCTCTCTCTCTCTCTTTAAAAAAAAAAAGGAACAGGTTTCTCCAACTTTCCCCTGTACCATTCTCAGTATATCCTCTTTGGCCAACTCTCCTTACAATTCCACAATCCAGGAATCCTGAGAAGACATGACAATATTTACTAGCAGATAAAGGATGATTTTCTGCACCTTTTTTTTCATTTTAGGTTGACACAATATCTTTATTTCATATTTATGTAGTGCTGAGGATTGAACCCAGTGCCTCATGCATACTAGGTGAGCGCTCTACCACTGAGCCACAATCCCAGCCCCTCTGCACTGTATTTTAAAAAGAGTGTTTAAAACCTTTTCCCAAAGTCTCTGAGTAGACTTCCCTCCCTGCCTCCTTGGCCGGACTCTGATTGCCTATGACTAGCTCTGAATCTGGTAAGGGTAATGGGCCTATAGAGCCTATCTCAAACCAATCATAACTACTGGAGCTGGGACTGGGGCTGGGGCCACCTTCTCTAAAAAAAAATGCATAATGGACAAGGTCAGGGTCTATTAATTGGGATGGAGTAGAAAACAGTTGTTGGGTAGGCCGCCACCTGGGTCTACCATATATTGCTACCTGCTTTTTTTTTTTTTTTTTTTTTCCCTTTGGAACCAGGGGTTGAACTCAGGGGCACTTGACCACTGAGCCACATCCCCAGCCCAATTTTATATTTTATTTAGAGACAAGGTCTCACTGAGAGTCTTGGTACCTTGCTTTTGCTGAGGCTGGCTTTGAACTCACGATCCTCCTACCTCAGCCTGCTGAGCCACTGGGGTTTTAGGTGTTCGCCACCACGCCTGACGCTACTTGCTATTTTTTAATGGTTTCCTGGTACAGAGAGCTTTCCAGTCAGAGTGTTGTAGTACAGTGGGCTCTGCAAATGGGAGTACCCCAAATAATGATTCCCTCACATTCAGGGGCAGCCAAGAGGGGCCTGGGTAGCTGGAATGCCCAGGCTTGTTGCTTTTGCCATAGTAGCCTTTTCTGTTTACCCTGGTGGGCAGTGCCGTTTGAAACATTCTCCCAAGATTTTTACTTTTTTTTTTTTTGATACTTGGGATTGAATCCAGGGGTGCTTAACTACTGAGCCACATCTCCACCCCCTTTTTGTATTTTATTTAGAGATACAGGCTCGCTGAATTACTTAAGGCCTTGCTAAATTGCTGAGACTGGCTTTGAATTCGTGATCCTCCTGCCTCAGCCTCCAGGGCTGCTGGGATTACAGGCATGCACCACCATGCCCGGCTTCTCCCATGATTTTCAAGAGGTATAAAGGTTGGAGCTGGCCATAGTGGTGCACGCCTTTAATCTCAATGACTTGGGAGGGTGAGGCAGGAAGATTACAAATTCAAGGCCAGTCCAGCAACTTGAGGAGGCCCTACGCAATTTCGACCTCATCTCAAACAAACAAGCAAGCAAACAAATAAACAAATGGGCTGGGGAGGTAGCTCTGTGACAAAGTTCTCCTTTGTTCAATCACCCCCTTTTGCGTGTGCAGGTTAGAGATTTCTATTAGACACCCAAGTGGAGATGTCAAGTAGGGGGTTGGATGTTCGTGGATGGAATTCAGGGGGGAGTTCTGGGCTGGAGATGTGAGTTTGTGTGAATACAGATGACATCCACAGTCAAGAAGACCCTGGAAGGGAGCAGGAATGAAGTAAGAGAAAAAGAGGGAGAGGGTGGAGACTGAGCCCTGGGATGCTTTAATAATAAAAGAGAAGGAGCCAGCAAGGAAACTGAAGGGAGAGTGACTTCCTGGACACCACATAAATAAAATATGTCAAGGGAGGGAGTAATCTGCCATGTTCAATGCTGAAGGCAGGCTAAATTAGGGGAGAACTGGAAAGTGACCAAGGGATTTAGGAAAGAGGAGGCCACTGATTTGTTGACAAGGGTAATTCCAGTGATGAGGTAGGGAGTGACAATCCTGAATTTTGGGGAAAGGAATAGGAATCCACGGGCAAACCTCTTTAGGAGTTTTGCTGTAAAGTGAAGCAGAAAAGAGGGTACAGCTGGAGAAGTGGTTCGTATTTATTTTTTTCATTCTGTTGGAGGGATGAACCCAGGGCCTGTGCATGCTGGGCAATCACTCTACCACAGAACTACAATCCCACCTCTCACTGTTTTTTTTAATACAAGAAATGAAAACATCCGCTATACCAATGGGATGATGAAAAGGAGACGGAAAACGATGATGCAGGAGAAAGAGGGGGCAAATGTTGGGCTTATGTATTTGAGAAAATGACAGTGTGTAAGATTAAGTGTAGAAATAGGTTTTAGTAGTCAATTAATACATAGTTAAGAAAAGGAGGCTGCAGGTATGGCTTAGGGATACAGCGCTTGTCTAGCATCTGTGAAACCCTAGGTTTGATCCCCAGCAACACACACACACACACACACACACACACACACACACACAGTTAAGAGAAGGGAGGCAAGTGGGAAGGTAAATGAAACGTGACTTTGTGTTTACTATTTTCCACGATTTTCTTAGTAAAATTGGGAATGAGGATGAGGGAGAAAGTGATGGAAGTTCGATGAGAGTGGAGAAATATAATTTTTTAGAATTGCGGGCCGGGCAAGGTGAGAGATATTTGAAACCGAGCTGCGATGAATGCGGGGTGTGCTATTAGCTTGCGCGATTAGTCCCTCTAGGCACTCCGTAGTCGGTTTCCTTGGAAACCGAGACACGCGAGCGAGAGAAAGCACCCTGTCTGTAGGAAATTTGATTGGCTTGGGTTGCCGCGATCCGCTCCAGATAAAAAAAGCTGGAGAAGCCGAACAGGCATCTCAGAGATCAAGGACCCACGGACTCAGAACTCTACACTTTTCCTCAATGGAGTACGACTTTCAGAAGTAGAAAGGAGCGGGGTGGCGGCGGGGGTGGACTGCGCATGCGCACCCCATTCGCTAACCCCGCCTTCTCCTTGAAGGGCCCAAGTCCTCTGGCCACGCCCCCACCCCGCCCACACCTGAGAGCCCCGCCTCGCTCATTCTGGCGATCTCCCAGCTCTGCTCCGCTGTGGTACCTGGTCCCCCGGGTTGTAGGGTAGAGACTGCACACCAATTTCAAGTGTGTTGCATACTCCTCCTTGGGCTGGGGATGATGGAAGTTCTTTCTCGCCCCAACTCTTTCCAGATCTAGCCAGAATGGGAGTCAGTCCAAACCCAAGTCCCACGTTCTGGTGAGTCCGGGAGGGCTGGGCGGGAAGGGAGGGTTTACGATGCTGCAGCCCGCCTGCCTTCACCTCCCACGGCTGGGACTGCCCGCGTGGTAGGGTCTGGAGACCTGAATTCCGGTCTCAGCTGTGTCACACTTTTGCTGTGGGACCCTGAGCAAGGCTCTGAACCTCATTTTTCTCTAGTCACTACTTTATCAGAATGTAAGGGTATATTCATGTCTACTCTTCTGGTTCCCTAAGAGGTGGGTATTGGGTCTTCCCATACATTCTGTTTTTTGGCACCTCACAGCCTGGATATGCTCAGTAAATTCAGGCTGACCCATAAAATTTATGGAGCACGCACTAGGAGCTTTAAGAATATCATCTCTTGGAATTCTTGCATCAACCCATAGTTAGGTTGTGTTATTAGATCCACTTTGCCGATGAGGAAATTGAGGCTCAGAGAGCTAACATCACTTGCTCGAGGTCATGGATACCTATAAAGGGTGGAGTGAAACTTGAATTCACCGTGCTGTGTGACTGATTGTGTTTTGTCTGGTTGCATTGGGTCCCATGGCAGTGGTCCACGCAGAAAACCAAGCCATCTACTCTACCTCCACTTGGACAAGCCAGCATCCACGCTAAAAGAAAAACGAAGAGTTTGACTAAAGTCCAATCAGGTGAGCAGAAGCACTAGGGGGCTGGTGTGGGTAATGGGGACAAATTAGAGTGGCTGCTCTTGGCCCTTGGTGACACTATTCATATTAAGATAGGCTCACTGATGTAACAGACAACCTCCAGATTTCAAGTATTAATACAGAAGCTTATTTCTTATTAATGTCAAAGCGCCTTTGAAGATCCAAGGAGAATCTATTCCATGCGGTCTTCTGTTCTCCTTGACCTTGTACCTCTGATATTTTATGAGGCTTTGAAGTCGTCTTTAGGATATTTCTGTGTCTAGTTGGTAGAGAGGGAAGGAAGAGGGCAAGAACTTGAATGGTTTTGTGGGTAGTTGTTTTAGGGGCCCAGACATGAAGTGACCTATTTCCACACATGTCCCAGAGCCATAACTCAGTCACATGACCCCTAACCATAAGAAAAAATGGGAAATGCAGTCCAGCTGTGTGTCCAGGAGCGGGGAAAAGACAGGGTTTGGTGAACTCATGGGATCATCTCTGCCATATTGTTGTCATGCTTTCCAGGAAGTTTTGAGGCTTGGGATCAGACAGGTGTAGGTTCAGATCTTGACTTTGAAATTTACACATTTAGAAAGTCACTCATCTCATTGAGCCTCAGGCTTCTCATTTGTGGAATGGGGACACCAAAAGGTTTGTATTAAGAATATCCATGTAAAACATTATTGCTCAGCCTTATCACACTCAACATTCCTTTTAATAACAGATATTTTGAAATTTTTCTTTCTTTCTTTCTTTCTTTTTTTTTGGTACTGGGATTGAACTCAGGGGCACTTGACCACTGAGCCACATCCCCAGCCCTATTTTGTATTTTATTTAGAGACAGGGTCTCACTGAGTTGCTAGGCACCTCGCTGTTGCTGAGGCTGGCTTTGAACCTGCCGTCCTCTTGCCTCAGCCTCATGAGTTGCTGGGATTACAGGCATGTGCCACCATGCCCGGTTTGAAATATTTCTTGAGTATCCTGAATGAACTGCATACTTGTTAAAACCTACCTGTGCACACCTGCATGTACAACTGCTCACACCTCCTCACTGCCCCTGAGTGAGGAACAGAAGGTCAGTTTCCTGGGGCAACACTGATGTCTACCACCTTGTGCCTTATTGATGCTGCATGGGGGTAGAGGCTCAGATTCCCACTGGGCTCTGCTGACCTGTGGGCAGAGGGAGGGAATGAAGCTCAGAGGTGACAAGTCTTACCTCACACCACTTTTTTCAGTCTCTTTAGTACTAGGTAGGAATAGAGGCTAGAATTCCTGCTGGACCCTGTGATGCTATCCTTAGTCAGCACCAAAAAACCTGCTTCTGCCATGCTGGGGTTAGAAGCTCAGTTGCCCAACCAACTCTGTCAGCGCTGTCCCAGGTGAGGATTGCAGCACTTCCAGGCAGGGGTGAAGGATCAGCTCTCTGCTGTGCCCAGCCAGCTCTACCCAGGGAGGGAAAGGGAATGCCTCCATACAAATATACTCCACTAATTTTGAAAAAGGTGCAAAAACAATTCAGTAGAGGAAATAATTCAGATGGGGTGGAGCAATTGGACTTCTATGGACAGAAAGAATGAACCTCACCTTTCCCAGACCTGTGAACCTCAAGTTAAGTCTTGCTACTTAATAAAAAAATTAACTCAAAATATAAATGTAGAAATGCATAAAAATTAAATGTAAAACATAAAATGTTAACCTAGAAAAAGGCAGGAGAAAACAATCTTTGGAGCCTGTGGCTAAGTGAAGCATTCTTGGACACCACACCAGCAGCCTAGTTTATGAACTGAAAAATGAAAAATGGAAAGTGGGCTTCATCGAAATGAACAATTTTTGTTCTATGAAAAAAATCATTTTTAACCTTTATTTCATTTATTTTTATTTTTGTGTGGTGCTGAGGATCAAATCCAGGGCCTCACATGTGCTAGGCAAGTGCTCTACCACTGAGCCACACCACCAGTACCCACCACTTTTTCATGGTACTGAGGATTGAACCCAGGGACGATCTGCCCCTGAGCTGCATCGCCAGCCCCTCATTTTATTTTTTATTATTTTTTTTTGAGACAAAGGGTGTTGCTAAGTTGCCCAGGCTGGCCTCCAATTGGTAACCCTCCTGCCTCTGCCTCCCAAGTCACTGATATTACAGGCATTTACCACTGTGCTGGGCTTAAAAAATCCTTTTACGTGAATGAAAAGACCACCTACAAATCTGGAGAAGATATTTGCAAACGATGTATCTATAAAGGACTTGTATTTGGTAGACTATTATCCAGAACTCTCAAAACAGTAAAATAGCTGGGTGTGGTGGCGCAAGCCTGTAATACCAGCAGCTCGGGAGGCTGAGGCAGGAGGATCACAAGTTCAAATCCAGCCTCAGCAACGGCAAGGCTCTGAGCAATTCAGTGAGACCTTGTTTTTAAATAAAATACAAAACCGGGCTGGGGATGTGGCTTAGTGGTTGAGTGCCCCTGAGTTCAATCCCTGGTACCTATTGCCCTTCCCCCCAAAAAGATCCCAGTAAAATAGACATTTCAATTAGACAGTTGGCAAAAGACGTGAAGAAACATTTCACCAAAGAGGATTTGCTGATAGTAAATAAGCACATGAAAAGATTCTCAACGTCATAGCCACTAGGGAAATGCAAATGAACCACAATGAAATATCACTGTGTACCTATCAGAATAGCTAAAATAAAAATAGTGGGCTGGGGATGTGGCTCAAGCAGTAGCGCGCTCGCCTGGCATGCGTGCGGCCCGGGTTCGATCCTCAGCACCACATACAAGCAAAGATGTTGTGTCGGCCGAAAACTAGAAAATAAATATTAAAAAAAAAATAGTGAAAACATCAAATGCTTATGAATGAGGAGAAACTGGATTGGGCATAAATTGTTGGTGGGGCTATGAAATGGCTCAGGGAATGAGTATGGTAGTTTCCAACACAATTCAGCATGCGATTTCCAGATGACCCAGCAATTGCACTCTTGGGGATTTATTCCAGAAAATTGAACGCTTCTGTTCACACAAAAGCTGGTCCATGAATGCTCGTGTCTTAGCACCCTTATCCATAATCCTCCAGTCTGGGTTGGACATCTCCAAGCCCAGATGACCTTCCACAGGTGAGTGTGTCGACAGACGAAGGGGGCTCTGTTCCATGGACTGCCGAGCAGCAGTCATCAGGAAGAAGGATGATGCCTTCAGCAACCCCCATGACTCTCCAGAGAGTTCTGTTGAGTGAAAAAGCCAACCAAGGGGCTGGGGATGTGGCTCAAGTGGTAGCGCGCTCGCCTGGCATGCCTGCGGCCCGGGTTCGATCCTCAGCACCACATACAAAACAAAGATGTTGTATCCGCCGATAACTAAAAAATAAATATTAAAATTCTCTCTCTCTCTCTTTAAAAAAAAAAAAGCCAACCAAACCTTCCATGTTGTATGATGCCACTTATGTAACTTGTGGGAATGACACTCTTATAGAAATGGAGAGCGGATTAGTGATGGCCAGGGGTTAGGGACAGAGTTGGTGGGGGGTGATAATGGGAGGGGAAGTGGGTGTGGTTATAAAAAGCCGCAGTTGGGACCCTCCTGGTTATGGAAGGGTTCTGTCTGTATCTTCATGTCCATATCCTGTTTGGGATATTGTACTGTATTTGTTCAAGATGTTTGTTGCCATTGGGAGACTGGGTAGAGTGCACAAAAGATCTCTCTTTTTTATTTCTTAAAACTGCAGTGTTGGGCTGTAGCTGTAGCTCAGTAGTAGAGCACTTGCTCAGCATGTGTGAGGCACTGGGTCTGATTCTGAGCACCGCATGTGAATAAAAGAATAAAATACAGGACCATTAAAAAACAAAAACAAAACTGCCATGTTGCACTCCTGTAATTGTAGCGACTCAGGAAGCTAAGACAGGAGGGTTGCAAGTTAGAGGCCAACCTCAGCAGTTTAGTGAGGCCCTAAGCAACTTAGTGAGACCCTGTCTCAAAAAAATTAAAAGGGTTGGGGTTGTGGCTCAGTGGTAAAGTGCTCCTGGGTTCAATCCCCAGGACCAAAACAAACACCTCTCCAAGGCCCCCCCCACCAAAAAAGAGACCCAAACCCCAAACAAGCATGTGAATCTGAATTTATCTGAACATAAAAAAATTAATTATAAAAGATAAGTCATGGGGCTGGGGATATAGCTCAGTTGGTAGAGTGCTTGCCTCGCATGCACAAGGCCCTGGGTTCAATCCCCAGCACCACACACACAAAAAGATAAGTCATGGCTACTTAGTAGTGATAAAAATAAGCAAATAAGTATTATTAAATCTACAAATCTTCCTTAAGCATTTAGGAAGATTTAGAATCTTATAATTTTTATAAACACTTGTAAGAGGGATTTTGGAACTTGGTTAATTAAATTTCCCTAAACCTTTTAAGCCACATTAAAAAATTTAATATTTTCATTTTCAAATAGTTCATGCGTGTGATTAACAAAAACCATTGGGTATTTAAATAATTCTTTTTTATCTAATAAATAAACTTCTAAATATGGGTAATGTTATGTTCTCTTGAAAGTTTCTGTAATTTATACACATTTAATTAGAGTGTCTTCTACCTTTTAACTTTAAGGCAAAAATCTCATTTATACCTTTAAGATTGGAATCATAGGATTTAACCTATTAGTAATTGTGTCCCTTAAAAATACAATTAAATCCCAGATATGTACAGATAATTCATACATTTGACAGAAAATTAATTTACTTCATGATTTCAGTTCTTTTTTTTTTTTTTTTGGTAGTTTCACACAATACCTTTATTTATTTATTTATTTTTTGTGTGGTGCTGAGGATCAAACCCAGGGCCTCACACGTGATAGGCAAACCTCTACCACTGAGCCACAACCTCAGCTCCTTCAGTTCTTAATTTTAAAATATTCCAGGATTAAGGATCTTAATCTTTTCTGGGCTTTTTTAAAAAAATATATATTTTTAAAGATTTGATGGACCTTTATTTTATTCATTTATTTATATGCAGTGCTAAGAATCAAATCCAGTGCTTCACACATGCTAGGCAAGCGCTCTACCACTGAGCCACAACCCTGGCCCTTTTCTGGGCTTTAAAAAAAAATATTGTTTTGGTGCTGGGGGATTTGAACCCAGGACCTCATGCATGCCAGGCAAGCACCTGACCAGTGAGCCCCATCCCCAGCCCAGGATCTTGAGTTTTTTAAAGAAATAATAAATTCTTTCCCCAAATGAACTGAGTTGTACCTGGAATCGAGGTTTTGGTGGAGACTGAGAAAGGAGCTGTAGCCATCTGGGTGGTTTGTCAAGTGTTAGTTCTCGACAGGCTGCAGGAAAGCAGGGATCCTAAGGACCTGCCCTCCAAATGCCTTTATTCCCTGAAGGGAGAACTGCAGCTTGTACAATGCCTTGTCTGATGCTGTGGTCCCAGTTACCAGGTCACTGGAAATAATAGTGTGCCCAGCGTGGAAGGCGTGGCAGGCACTGTCCCTAACACCTTAAGGCACAGTAACTTAGTTAATCTTCAAGACAACTCCAAGAGGCAGGCATGACGATGATTCCCATCTTACAGATGGAGGAACCCAGGGACAGAGAGGTCTTGTGACCCCTTGGGTCATAGAGCTCTTAGAAGGCTCTGTCTTCTTCATTAGTTCTTCATTTTTTTTTTGGTGGGGAGTACTGGGGCTTGACCTCAGGGGCACTCGACCACTGAGCCACATCCCAGCCCTGTTTTGTATTTTATTTAGAGATAGTTGAGTTGCTTAGCGCCTCACTTGTGCTGAGGCTGGCTTTGAACTCAGGATCCTCCTACTTCAGCCTCCTGAGCCTCTGGGATTACAGGCGTGCGCCACTGTGCCTGGCCCTCAATAATTCTTCTTTACTCCAAACTCACCTGGCCTGTTCCATCAGCCAGGTTGGTGAGAGACCAGGTGTTCAGAGCTGGGCCACCAGGCTCTGGTCTCTGGCTGTGCCCAGCTGCATCAGCAACTGGCGGAATACAAAAAGGGGGCGTTTCCAACTCTCTACCTGGAAGCCTCAGAGTGGCCTTCTGTATAATGCAATCAACTTTTCATAGAATACAGCACCTCTGTAGCTCTCTCTGAAAGGGGCCGACCCTCTTTAATGGAGATGCACTGTGGAAGCTCTCTATGAAAGGGGATTCTGCCCTGGCCGCCTGGTCTTGCTACCCTCGTCCTCCCCTCTGGGTATCCTGTGGTCTCTGCTTTCCCTGGGCTCCTCCCTCCTTTATATCAAGGCTCAGGGTGGAGCCTGGGAACTTCTTGGTGGGTGTGACTTTCAGCCTCTGTCTAGTGTCACTGTCTCAGGGTTTGGGCCCGGGGTCTGGGCTCCCTCTCCTGCATTCTCTGGGAGGATGGACCTTCTTTCTTTTTTGTTAATATATATTTTTTGGTTGTTGATGGACCTTTATTTTATTTATTAATATGCGGTGCTGAGAATCGAACCCAGAGCCTCACAAGTGCCAGGCAAGTGCGCCACCGCGGAGCCCCAGCCCAGGCCCTGGACCCTCTTTCTTTCCATATGTCTCCAGCGACCTACTACCAGCCCACGGTGGTGACCACATACCAGCCGAGGGAGCCAGAAGATTCGCACCTGAAGGACAAGTTCAACTCTAGGAAGATTCAGGCCAAAGTCCGGTTCATGAGGGTATGAGGGGGCCTCTCCGCAGGCCCCTGAGCAGGGAGGGGCACCGAGGAGGCTCAGCGACCAGCTCTGAGCACCTCAGGGGGCCAGACTCACTTCTGCCTGACGGCAACTCCTGGGCACTCTGATCACTCCTGTTTTACAGGTGGGGACACTGAGGGACAGTAAGGTAAATGACTTACAGCATGTCACACAGCAAGAAAATGGCATCCTACGGGTCAAAGTCAGTTAAACTAAGCACTTGCTCTTGTGATGAGACTCAGGGAAACAATCAGAATCACCTTGTATTTTGGTGCATTAGGAATCCCATCGAGTGGCTTTTTAAGGAATTTCCCATGTTAACCTCATGGGTACAGTGAACACTGAGGCACAGCTTAGAAGCTGACCCTTAAAATGTCCAATCAACTGATAGCATGGTCGTTAATTAATATTCCCATCATAGATTGTTTTATGGCTTCTTTTATTATCTGAATAGCATTTCAAAGTATTTGAAAATGACTGAATAAAGAGGAGTCTGTAGTATTCACAGCAGAAAGGGAAACACTGTTTTATAAATAGTACAAAATACTGCAGAAAAATTCTTTTTTTTTTTTTTGGTACCAGGGATTGAGCCATATCCCAGCCCTTTAAATATTTTATTTACAGACAGGGTCTCATTGTTGATTAGAGCCTCACTGAGTTGCTGAGGCTGGCTTTGAACTTGCAGTCCTCCTGCCTCAGCCTCCCAAACCCTGGGATTATAGGCGTACAACACCATACCTGGTTAGAAGAATTCTTACTTCTTCAATATTTTTTTTAATAGTTCAATGAATGTTGACTATAAAAGAAGAGGGAAAATGTATTTGTTTTAAAACCACTTTTTGCACTTTAGGCTTCAGTTTTGCAAAATTGTTTAGAGGGGGCCCAGCATTCTCAAAAAGGAGGTTCGTAGTTTCTGATATTACTTTATCCTGATTTTATAGAGGCTTATTGTTTTTGTCTGACACAGAATGTGAATTTAGACATTTTAGCTGTAAAACTTGGGCTCCTAACCAGTTGATAACACTGTCTCTCAATACTTTCCCATTCATTTAGTCAAAAAATATTTATTGAGCACCTGCTATGTGCCAGGCCTTGTTCTGAGTATGAGGACCACCAGTGATGTGGCCTCTGACCTTAGGGAACTGACATTCTCCTGGGGGACACAGATGATAACCAGGGTGGATATGTGATGTGTCGTGATGATGAAAGCTATGAGGAAGCATGAGAATAAGATTAGGGGACTGGGCACAGTGGCACTAACCTGTAATCCCAGCAGCTCAGGAGGCTGAGGCAGGAGGATCGTGAGTTCAAAGCCAGCCTCAGCAACAGTGAGGTGTAAGCAACTCAGTGAGACCTTGTCTCTAATAAAATACCAAATAGGGCTGGGGATGTGACTCAGTGGTTGAGTGCCCTGAGTTCAATCCCCAGTACCAAAAAAAAAAAAAAAAGAATAAGGGGGTGGCAGTGACTGTTGGACAGGGTGCTCAGGGAAGGCTGCTGAGGTGCTCACCTTTGAGTCGAGACCTGAAGGAAGTAAGGAAGCAGCCACGTGCACATTTGAAAGAGGAATGTTTCAGGCTGAGGAACCTCAAGTGCAAAGGCCCTGGGGTTGGCGTGGCTGGAGTAATTTTTGGTGAGGCCCGATGGTGTGTTGGGGCAGAGGGACTCATGGCCCTGTAGTCATGATTAGCTCTTAAGTTCTTATGCTAAGATGGCCAGAATCTGGGGGATTTTGAGTAGAGTGGGGGATGTGACCTGATTTAGATTTTCAAAGGAATCCTTGGGCCGCTGCTGCCCTGTGGAGAATGGACTGTGGGGCGAGGAGGAAGCAGGGGAAGAGCAGAAGTTGCCCAGGTGACTTGTTTTTAGAGCTAGGTTTTCAGCTGTCTTGTCCCTCAGCGTCACCAGGGGGATTAGTCATTCCATCCCGTGGAATGTGCCAGTGTTGGGATGCAGCCACCAACAAGGAGCTGAGATTTGTGCGGCCTCGGGGCTGATCCTTTTCCTTGGAGACATCATAAATGAATTAAAGGCCCCATAGAATAGTTGCCCATTCACTTACCCTACTGCAGGCATGGTTTACACGCTGGTGACACAGCTGTGACAAGACAGAGCCCCTGCCCTCCAGGCCGTGATATGCCAGGAGAAGGAGACAAGTAAGAAGAGAAAAAGAAAATGTCATGTCAGGTGATAAGTCCTAGGAGAAAAATCAGTTGGGAAAGGGGGAGACATAGTTAGGAGTCGGGTCGAATAAGTGCAAATTGAGATAAGGGTCAGAGAGAGAGAAACTGATCTGCCTTAGATCTGGTGGTCAGAGAGATCCTTACTAGAGCAGAGTCATTGCATTCTGTTACCCAGGCTCACTCGGGAGTGGGTGTGTGATAATCATGCAGATTGCTGTGGCCAGCCCCATGGCGCAGGCTCAGTGGCCCGGGACTAGGAGATTGATGTTACTCCAAGACCTTGGTGGATACTTGGGTCTGGAGATGGGGAGGCAAGACAGCCAGAGGACAACAGCCCTGCTATGTGTGACCTTGAGTACGTTACTGAATCTGGTCCTCGGGTTCCACTTTGTAAAGTGGGGCTAATAATAGTCCCCATCAGGGTCACTGTGGGGTGAGTGGCATGAAGTGCTGGCCTCACCCCAGACATTAGCATTATTACTGTTGTCATACAGGAGCTGAGGGCCAGGAGGGGCAGAGAAAGCAGGAGGAAAAGAAGGACTTGGAAGGAAGCCGGTCATGGTGACGCACGCCTGTAATCCCAGCAGCTCAGGAGGCTGAGGCAGGAGGATCGTGAGTTCAAAGCCAGCTTCAGCAACAGCGAGGTGCTAAGCAACTCAGTGAGACCCTGTCTCTAAATAAAACACAAAATAGGGCTGGGGTTCTGGCTCAGTGGTCAAGTGCCCCTGAGTTCAATCCTCAGTTACCCCCTTCCCCAAAAAGAAGGACTATAAAATAGAGCAAAGGTTGTGCCCGGGTGGAGGCCCAGAGACCGCGATCAGTACTGTTCACTGAGCGCACCTGGGCCCTGCCATTAAGTGACTTGACTGTGAATTTATCTTCTTTCTTTCTTTCTTCTTTTTTTTTGGGGGGGGAGGGGTAATTGGGGATTGAATCCAGGGATGATTTGCCACTGAGCTGCTACATCCCCAGCCCTTTTTTTAAAAATTGATTTTGTTTTTTTTAGATATACGACAGTGGAATGCATTACAATTCTTATTACACATATAGAGCACAATTTTTCATATCTTTTATATAAAGTATGTTCACGCCAATTCATGTCTTTATACATGTACTGTTTGTTTTTTTTGCATTACAATTCTTATTACACTTATATACCACACTTTTTCTTATCTCTGTTTGTATATAAAGTATGTTGACACCCAATTCGTGTCTTTATACATGTACTTTGTATAATTTTTTATTTTGAGACAGCTCTCACTAAATTGCTTGGAGCCTCACTAAGTTGCTGAGGCTGGACTCAAACTTGGAATCCTTCTGCCTCAGCCTCCCTTAGGGTGCTGGGATTACAGGCGTGAGCCACCACACCTGGCTTCCTTTATGTTTCATAGCAGCTCTCTGAAGCAAGTCTTAGTTTCTGGCAGCTTTAGAATGAGTATAACCACGTTTTGGAAAGTTAATTAACATGTCTAAATTCCCTGAGATGGTAAGTGGCAGAGATTCGAACCAAGGTGTGTCTCGGCCTAATATCTAAGCCATAGTCACTGGTTTAGCCACTTCTTGCAGTTTTAAGCCCACTCAGTCCTTACCTTAGTGTAGTGAAAAGACCCTCTGTTTCCAATGCCAGAAGCAGCATTTCTTGGCTGTGTGACATTGAGCAAATCACTTAACCTCTCTGAGCCTCACTGAGCCTTCACTTACCAGCAAAATAGAATTAATAAACAGGGATGCTGAAGGTTGAACTGATACTATGTGCCACCTGCAGACAGGGCTCAGTGCAGAGAGGCATGCGATGATTGCTACTGATGCTGTTATTACTATGGATTTTATGTGCCCAAGGTTGGCTGTGACCTCGGCAAGTCACTAACCTCCCTAGCCCTCGTCGTTTTCACAGGTGTGTTGCTTGAGGCCGGGGATAGTCCTTATCGTCATCCATTCTGCCCCTCCTTCCCCCGCAGACCTGGCCCATCACCTGGGGCGTTTATCCCTGTTATTTCTAGATTTCATTGATTTAAAAAGCCATGGATAGTAAGTGCACCTTTATTTTATTTAGTCACTAATGAAATCTGTCAATGAGAGGGTGACATGCCACCAACTGTAAGACGCATGCCCCCTTCAGAGGTGTGACTATGGGGAAATGTGCATTTCCGGACGGACGAAAGGGAACCCGGCCCGGGACTTGCAGGCGCTGGGCAGGCGGACAATGGGGACCTGGGAACCGCCGTCCTGCTCGGCGCACCGACCCGGGGAGGCCACAGGGGGCGGCCGATGGCGGCAGGCAGCGGTCCCCAGGTCCCTGGGCTCCGGCGTAGCGCCGCTCCCTTGCCGGCCCCCTCCCGCAGTCGATGGTCAGGAACCAGCGGACCTCGCTCCTGGAGATGCGCCAGCACAAGTTCTTCCTCGGCAAGCTGTGCGACAAGCTGGTGAGAGCCATCCAGGACACCGAGGACAGCACGGCCTTGCGCGTGCGGGCGATGCTGCAGCAGCAGGACACCCTGACGGTGAGCCCGCCCATCGCGCCCTCGCCTGGTCCCCCGGGTCCTTTACAGGCCGCTTCCTCCATCCAGATGGCGCCTCTAACACGCTTGCCCCCCCCCCCCCCCCCAGAGCCGCCCATCCCAGGGCCAGCCGGAGCTCACTGGCTGCAGGGCACAACCCAGGCACTCTGGCACCCCCATCTGGGCCCTTCCCATCCTGCTCTTGTGAGCACCCTCAGCCCAGTGGTGGCTCTTGAGGTCCGTGGGTGAAGAATGACCTGTGGAGAACCCAGGGAGCTTCCTCGGCCTCCTCTAGGAGAGGTTGGTGACACTGTAGTGAGAGGGCAGGAGGAGAGTTAGAGAAAATGGTTGAATGGACTGATGTCCCTCAACTGTAGTCTGTCTCCCTCTGGAGGAGGGGAACTGAGCACATCCAGAGTCTGAGAGAGAAAGTTCAGACTTCTTGGGGACACTGTTGGTCGTTGGGGTGATGAGATTCTGTAGACTACCAGTTTATTTTCTCACAGTTCTGGAGGCTGGGGGTTCAGAACCCAGGGGCCAGCAGGCGTGGTCCCCTGCTTCACCTGGACTGGAGGTGAACCCAGGGGTGCTCCATCACTGAACTAGATCCCCAGCCCTTTTCATTTTTTAATTTGAACAGTCTTGCTAAGTTGCCTAGACTGGCCTTGAATTTGCGATCCTCCTGGCTCAGCCTCCCACGTAGCTGGGATTCCAGGCGTGCATCCCCATGCCCAGCTGGCAGGGCTGGCTTCTGGCGCAACCCCTCTTCCTGGTTTGCAGATGGCGGTCTTGTTGCTGTGCCCTCCTTTCCTCTGTGTGCAGGGAGAGCGAGCACTGGTTTCTCTCCTTATAAGGACACCAGACCTGTCGGATGAGGGCCTACCTTTGTGACCTGGTTGAGCTTTAATTACTTCCTGAAAGGCCCCGTCCTGTCTCCAAATATAGTCATTTGGGGGCTGGGGTTCTAATCTGTGAATTTTGGGGGTAAACAGTTCAGCTTATAACAGGGACCAAGGCCAAGGACGTACAGTTATAAGGAAACTTGGTAGAACCTTCTTCAGACCTTCCTCGACTGGTCTGTTTGTGCATCTTTTGTTCATCCTGGATGGTCCCGTGGCTCCTTGGGAATGGCCAACGGGAGACATCCTGTCTAAGTTAAGCTTTTCCTTCCACTGGGGTCCCAGGCAGTTAGAAAGCCTGGAAAGTAAGAGGTAGGGGACTGGGGAACCCGGAGAGGGCCACTGACTGATACATGGGAACATTAGGGAGGCTTCTCACAGAAAATGATTCCTGAGCTGAAATCTGCAATACAGTTATGAACTGGTGGAGACCAGGTACGTGTTGCAGGCACAGAAAGAGACCTGGGAGGAGAGGGGTCGGAACTGGCCCAGGAGCCATGTGAGGTGGTTGACAGTAGGTGCCAGGAAGAAATCTCAGGAGATGAGGTGGGTCCAGGCCAGATCAAGGAGGGCCCTGTCAGTCAAGGAGTCTGTGTGGGGCGGGTAGGAGCTGTTCTCCAGCCTCTGGTCAGGTTGCTGGGCTGAGGAAGTGCTGGATGGCCGCAGCCTGCCATGAGCCTGAGCCAGCAGAAGCGGGGCGGGGCGGGTGGGGGGAGGTGAGTTGACCCCACCCCACCATTCCCACAGAACATCATCGACATCCTGGAGTACTCCAACAAGAAGAGGATACAGCAATTGCAGTCTGAGCTCCAGGAGTGGGAAGATAAGGAGGAAAGCAAGATAAACTGTAAGAAGCGTTGGGACCAAGGCCTTGTGCTCACCCCTGACCCCTTGGGGAGGACAGCTGGGGCATTCACCTGCACCCGCCTTTCAGAAGTCACTGGGCCCGCCCCTCCCTCCTAGGCCGATGGAGTTGCTCAGGGGTAGAGCTGATAGCTTGCTATCCAGCTCTTAGCACTTGCTAGGCCTCGTGTGTCTGCATTTTTCTGGGTGCACTCTCACACGGCCACTATAACCACCTGCAGAATGGGCTGCGTTCCCATTTTACAGATGAAGAAACCGCAGCTAAGGGAGGCAGAGTAGCCTGCTGAAGGTCACACAGCGGGGAGCCAGAACCCAGTTCTAGCCTGGCTCGCTCCATAAGGTCCCTCTGGGAGCCAGTGGTGGGCTAGGACCCAAGTCTCCTGGCTTCCAGCCCGCAGGGCTTTGAGCAGCCTAGAGGGGGCAGGGAGCAGTGTACCATGTAGGCTTAGACTTGGGGGCACCCATCCACAGAGGAAGCAGGACAGAGCACTGGAGATTGTGTCCTGGGAGCCAGCGTGTCCTGTCTCCCTGGTCTCGGCTCCTTGGGAACATGTCTGAGGAGGTTGAAGTTCAGGGAGGAATGAGCTTGGGGGTGCCATGCCCGGCCAGCAGGGCTGGACTGCTCTAGGGATTTTTGTACGAGGGATTGAACTCAGGAGCTCACCCACGGAGCCACATCCCCAGCCCTATTTTGTATTTTATTTAGAGACAGGGTCTCACTGAGTTGCCTAAAGCCTCACTTTTGCTGAGGCTGGCTTTGAACTTGCAATCTTCCTGCCTCAGCCTCCCCAGCTGCTGGGATTACAGGCGAGATCCCCCGCAGATCCCCTGGGTCACTCTCTAGGGATGTGACTTTTCACCTCTTCCCAGGCTGTGTGAGCTCCTCTTAATGCAGACCCCAGCCTTTTGGCCTCCTGCCCCTCTGACTTTCCTCTCCACCCCTCCCAGGCCTGGAGCTGCAGGTGGAGCAGCTGAATGCCAAAGTCGAGAAGACCCAAGAGGAGGTGAACTTCCTGAGCACGTACATGGACCATGAGTACCCGGTCAGGTCTGTCCAGATCGCCAACCTTGCGCGCCAGCTTCAGCAGGCCAAAGACGACCAGCAGGTGGGGAGAGCCCTGGCCCGGCTGCGCTGGAGCCTGAGGGAGGCCGGGCGGGCGGCCAACCCCCTTGTGCTGGCCCCAGGATGAGCTGGATAACCTTGCTGAGATGCGCAGAATGGCCCTGGAGTTGCTGTCCACCAAGATTTGGAAGAAGAAGGAAAAAATCCTGAGGTCTCTGGCGATGGTGAGTGGCCAGCTGTGGGGGGTCTCTGGGTCCCACCCCAGCCCTGCCGCCTTCCCAGTCCTCTGCCTCCAGCACCTCCGTCCCTCAGCATGGCGCAGCTGCCCTGGAAGAGGTGCCCAGGGCCCAGGCCTCTCCCTTACCCACAGAGAACCCTGCAACCCCACGAGGAGGCCCTTCTGCAGAAGACCCAGGACAGCCAGTATAGGCAGAGGTGCAGAGGGACGGTCACGGAGGTGAGTGGACAGGAAGGTGATGGTCCCTCTGAGGGGTGGGGGTCCCCAGAGCCGCCCCCTGCAGCCGGTCCCCGTGCTCACTACCCCCTCAGCGTTTCCTCACCACAGGACACTGCCACTAGCTGGTGCTCTGGCCCCGTCCTGAACAGGGAGGTCTCCCCTGGAGTCCAGCTCATCCTGGGGACAAAGCCCACATCGTGTTCCCAGATGTCCTTACTCCTGTGCATTCGCCCTTCTCTCCTTTTCACTGGGGGCCACCCGGCCTCTCCCTCCTCCCCCGCCATGCCCCACCCCTCAGTTCATTGACGAGCTGAAGGGGAGACTGCCCGAGCTGAAGGCCGAGGTGGAAGAGCTCCGGGCCCAGAGGCAGGAACCCCGAGAGGTCGTTTTCAAGGACGTTCTGCTTCGGAGACCCAAGTATGTGGTGCTTTTGCAGCTGGCCGTCTCTGGGGCTCCAGGAGATTCTCTGTTCTCAGGAAACTCAGCCTCGTGTGGATGGCAGGACCCGGCACAGGGAGGGAGGAGGCCTGGGTGTCCCCCTCGGCTCTGCCACTGGCCACAGGCCGACGGGACCTTTCCCATCGCGGGGTCTCATTTTCCCATGGCTAGGCAATCCCTAAGGACCCATCTGCTTCCCAGAGTCCAAGTGTCAACCTTGTGGGCTGTCGAAGAAGGCAGAGTTGAGGGGGGTGGTTGGTTGTGTCACCACGAGGAGACACGCTTGTCACTCACCCGGGAGGGAGCCGAGGCTGGAGACACAGCCTGAGGAGAGAAGGATGCCCCCAGTCCTTTCAAGCTTCTTCCCTTCCAGAACCAATTCTCTGCCTGCTCTCTTGGACCAGGCCCTCTGTGGTTGGGCTGGGGGGCCCCCGGCCAGGCTTCTCCATGTCAGCACTACAGGACTCTGGGTGGTAGAGCTGGTATTGGAGAATTATTTAATTTTCCCTCTTCATCTCTATGTCTTCATCTCTTCCTCTTCCTGAGTTTATGAAGTGCCTGTGAAGAGCCAGGCACCATGTGAATGAAAGGGACCTTTCCTGCCACCATGGAGTTGAGGAGGGAACCAGACATTAATGGACAATAAGACACAGATGTAGCCAGGCACAGTGGTGCACACTTGTAATCCCAGTGACTCAGGAGGCTGAGGCAGGAGGATTGCAAGTTCGAAGCCAGCCTCAGCAATTCGGCAAGACCCTCAGCAACTTAGTTAGACTCTGTCTCAAAATTTAAAAACTTAATAAATAAAAAGGACTGGGGATGTGACTCAGTGATAGAGCACCCCTGGGTTCCGTCCCCAGTACCAGGTAACACCACCACCACCACCAACAACAAAAAGACACAGATGTACATAACTGTCAAGGGGAGAAGTCCATGGCCCTGGGAGAGTGTGTCCCACGGTAGTGGGCCTGGGGCAGTCGAGGAAGGTTTCCCTGAGGCTGTGACATTGAACCAAGGTCTGAAGTTTATGTAGAAGCTCACCAGGCGAAGGGCCGGAGAGGAAGCGACTCTTGGTGGCGGTGCTGGGGTCTCTGGGGTGGCACACGCAGGTGCCCACTGCCTTGACCTGGGACCTGCACACATTGAAAGGAGAGTGAGGGGGCGAGGGTGATGTGGGCTAGGGTACCAGGTTGTTGTTTTTTTTCCTGCTGAAGCTGATTTAGAGAATGTGGCTTATATTTCCAGCCACATTGGCTTCTGAATACTGAACCCAAAATTAGGCAGATGGAGCCACCTGGCCGTGGTGGAGCTGGACACGGGCGGGGGTGGGGGAGCCAGTCCTTGTGGGCAGCTTGTTGCTGAGAGGAGAGCGGGTAGCCCTTGCTATGGGCCCCCCTTGCCAGGCTCACCGTCCAGGTAGACCTACCCCCTCTGCAGGAGCAGAGGAGTAAAGGGGCAAAGAGGCCGAGGGCAGTGCCCCCACCCACATCTTCCTGAAGGAAGACACCATCAGGAACGCCCAGCAGCTTTCCCTTCCCAGAGCGTGGGCACGGCGGGCTGCCCAGGAGACATTTTCAAACTCGAAGATGCGCAGCCATCACCTGCACACCTGGACATCTTTTTTTTTTTTGTACTGGGGATCGAATCCAGGGGTGCTCTACCACTGAGCTGTATCCCTAGCCCTTTTATTTTTTCATTTTGAGACAGGGCCTTACTAAGTGGCCCAGTCTGGCCTTCCATTCTTGGAATTCCCCTCCTCAGCCTCCTGAGTAGCCGGGATTACAGGCAAGCGCCTCTGCACCCGACTCACCCAGAGCTCTTGTTAAAAAGCAGATTCTAAACCAGGAGGCTGCGGTGGGCCCTGGGTTCTGTATCATGGAGAAATTCTTGGGTGATGCTGCTGCTGTCCCCAGCCAGTGGGCCATGGGCAAGGCTGTGAGGATTGGGTAGGCACCTCCTGGGCATTTATGCCAGGAGTGCAGCTGGAATTCAGAGTGATGGGGAGAATTTGGGAAGGAGTCAGCAGCTCTGCCCCTGGGGGCCTCCAGGCAGGGCCCAGCAGGCCACGGTTTGTACCTGATCCTACAAGCAGAGGATCTGTATCCCCAAAATGTCATTTTGAAAACAGCACGGAGGTTGGAGAAGAGCCAGAGTGGGAGCTGGGAGTCTGGCTGGGTGTGGTGGCAGTGGTCCTGGGGAGCGCTGGGAGTGGCCTGGCCAAGTGGGTGACAGAGGAGAAGGGAGGACTGGGTGGGTTGGAGAAATGTCTAAGAAGGGAACATCTGTAGGACTGGGGGTGTCTGGGAGTGGGAAGTACAGGGCGGGGAGACACCAGGAATGACCCCCGGGTTCCTGGCTCTTCTAAGAGTGGCTGCTGGTGCTGAATCTGGAGATGAGGAAGGCCAGGGGTGGGCGAGGGATGGAGGCGTCAGGGCAGCCGAGAGGTGACCTGGATGGGACCTGCACGTAGAGCCATCAAGCAACAACTGAGTAGATGAGTGTAGACTTCAGGACAGATGTGGGGAGATAGCGATTTGGGTGTTGCCAGGGTAGAGATGCACCTTTTAAAACAATCAGGACAAATTGTCCAATATATAGAAAAGCAGAGAGAATGAGACAAAGAATGCCCAGCTCCCGTCTCGGTTTAGAAATAGTCACATTTTTGCCATGTTAGCCTCATCTTTATTCTTTCCTTTTAAATTTTGGCTGAAGTATTGTAAATTGCAGACATCCCGACATTTCACACCTAAATGCTTTTGTGTGTGTCAAGGGATGATTGAAACTGAGTGGATGCTCTGCTTGGGAGACAGTGGAGAGAGGACCTGATCCTGCAGCCTCTTACATGGCCATTCGGTCACGGTGACAGGGAATCTGCTGCTGATGGCAACCCCCCTCTCCTGCTGCTTTCATGGGAAGAAGAGTGGCCTCCACTGAACAGTTGCTGTAGGCTGACACATAATTTGGTCTCATTAAATCTCTTGCCAATGACTGAGCTTGGACTTACCACCCCCACTTGACAGATGAGGAAACCCAGGCTTGCTTGTGTTCTGGCACACAGGTGCTGTCACCTTGGTGCTGACTGAAGGAGTGAGACTCCTGGGGGAGAAATAGCTCGCTTGAGGTGACACAGGACGAGTCCTGACTTCGAAGAGAGTGGTTGTCCTGAGGAACCTCAGTGCATCTGAGTTGAGCTCCTGCCCCCTCCTGACCTTGGTCCTCTGTAGTGGAACATTAGTCCTGCCAAACTCATTTCTTCTCCATTTTTGACATTTGTGTGTGTGTGTGTATGTGTGGCTGTGCACAGTTGGTCTTGGGGTGCCCCACCCCGTTGTGAGGGTTTGTTGTCCCATCCCCCAACTCTGTCCCCCGGTTGCCCTTCCACACTCCTCTTTGCTGCTTCCCTCCAGATGCACCCCAGACATGGACGTGGTCCTCAACCTTCCAGAAGAAGAGCTCCTCTTCTAGAGGATGCCGCGGCTGCCCTCCCCCTCCCTTCCCAGCACCTGGAGCCTGGATGGGTTCACTTCCAGCCTGAGTCTCCGTTCAGACCCTGCTCTGAGTCCCTCCTCCCCCTCCTCCCTTCCTTTCCTGTATACAATGATTTCTTTCCCTTCTCTTTCTCTCCCTTTTCTGCAGTGGCCCTGCCCCCCAGGCCAGCTGGGGATTCCCAGTTAAAAATTTCCATTCCTTTCTACCAATAAAGTCGGGTCTGAATTGCTCTGTGCTGGTGTGTGGGGTCCCAGGCCTGTAGAAGGCGGGATAGGGATGGATTTAGCCTTAAGATGAAGGGTGGCCAGCCATGGTGACTGTACTGGGGTTCAGGACTTCTCCAGAAGAAGTGCTGGAGTGACACCTCCCCTCCACCCCCGCCAGCTCTGCATCCCCATGGCTGCCACCTGGTGCAGTGGGAACCGGGCTTCCCTTAGAGTTTGTGCCTAGAGCTGCTGAGGACAGTGCCAAGGCAGACGGGAGGTACCTTCAGTTCAGCACACCCGGGAACTTGTCTGCATGGCTGGTGGCCACGCAGTCCAGCTATCTGACTGTCCACCACCTCTGCCCCAACTGCAGAGGGACACAAACCCAAACTCATGCCCAAGGGCAGAGCTCTGTGCTGCTGCAGACCCTGCTGTGGTGGACTTGGAGATGCATGGCCTGGGTCCCCCTTGGAGCAAGCACTTGAAGGTGCTGTTGGCAGGTATCCTAGGCAGCCAGCCAGACCCTCAGGGTCAGATCCTCAGGGACTATCTCAGCTGCAGAGAGCCACTTGCCCAAGGTCAACCCTTCCCAAGTCCAGTGACCGTGCAATGTGCAAGGTCAAAGGCCCAGATATCTTAGTCCAGCTTGGAACAACTCGGAGGGAAGAAATAGCTTTCTCAAGGTGACAGAGCAAGGCGTCCTGACTCCAAAGAGGATGATCATCCTCAGGAACCTCAGGAATTGAACTCCTGCTCCTCCTTTTTTTTTTTTTAAATATTTTTGGGGCTGGGGATGTGGCTCAAGCGGTATTGCGCTCGCCTGGCATGCGTGCAGCCTGGGTTTGATCCTCAGCACCACATACAAAGAAAGATGTTGTGTCTGCCAAAAACTAAAAAATAAATACTAAAAATTAAAAAATATATTTTTTAGTTGTAGTTGGACATAATACCTTTATTTTTTTTATGTGGTGCTGAGGATCGAACCCAGGGCCTCGCACGTGCTAGGCGAGTGTTCTACTGCTGAGCCCCAGCCCCAGCCCTCCTGCTCCCTCTTGACCTTAATCCAAATACTTAAATGTTCTCACCCCAGAGCTGCCTGGAGGGTTGGCAGAAGCTGTCCTGGGTCTGTGCTGCTGCCCATCCTGCGTCTTCCTCAGCTGATGCCCAGGGTGCTGAACCACCTGCACCCTCCACTCCATCTCAGAGGACCCAGGTGCCACAACTAGGAGCCTCTGTCCTCTCTCACATCATCTTGTACAATCGGAGACTTGGTTAGAGAGAACGGAACAACTGACTTGGTCTAAATGATGACATAATCAGGCTTTATCCAGAAGTTGAATGATGGCACCAAGGACCCTGTCCGAGGTGTTGTCCTTTTTTTAAATTTTTTTTTTTGGTACTGGGACTTGAACTCAGGGGCACTTGACCACTGAGCCACATCCCCAGCCCTTTTCTGCATTTTGTTGAGAGACAGGGTCTCACTGAGTTGCTTAGCATCTCGCTTTTGCTGAGGCTGGCTTTGAACTCACGATCCTCCTGCCTCAGCCTATGGAGCTGCTGGGATTACAGGCATGTACCACCACACCTGGCCCAAAGTATCCTCCTCCTAAGGTTGGTGCTGCTGGTGGTCCTAGTGTGCCAGCATCTCCTGCAGCTGTGGTGTTCCTTGTTCAACCCTGCAGGAAGAGAAAGGATGCTCTGCCCCAGACTCCAGCCAACTGCTTCTATTGCATGTCCATCTAGAGAGGGTGGAGAGGGGAAGGTCTAGTCCAGGTCACATGCTCTGGAGGCCAGTAGGCCTTCTCCAGAACCATCCATCTCCAAGCAAATTGACAGTGTTGAACATAATAGCAAATACTTAAATGGAACTGACTCTTCTGTACGTGTATCAACTCACTAAATCCACAAGAGCAACCCTGGGAGACAAGTATTGGTCCCGCTTCTGTTTTTTAAATGAAGAAACCTGAAGAGATGAAGTAACCTCCCCCCCCCCCAAATCACCACTAGTAAGTGGTCGAGGCAGTTTGCTTTAACTGCTGTGCTGTCAGGAGCTCATGTGAGCTGGAGACTGTCTCTTAACACAAGCGTTCTTGACCATTAGAGTACTGCTGGTTTTTTTTGTTTTTTTTTCTTCACTTAGCAATTTATTTTGCAGATGTTATCAAAGCCAGAACATAAAGCTCTATCATAATTCATTTCAGATTATACAGCAGGTTACTGTATGGCCAACATAATATACTTAACCAGCCCCTATTTGAAAGACACTTGAAAAATGAATGGATTTGATTCATATTTTTTAGAAAAGAAACACACCAGTCAGAATGCAATGGTACACCAACAATTACCACCCTTAGGCATGAAAAGGAAACTGAGCTCTCAGGGTTGGAGACTGAGATCTCAGTGATGATAGTGGTGGAGTGTGATTGGGAGCAGTAGGAAGCAGGTGGGTGTTGGGGGTATAGGCTGGGCTTCTTTCCTCTGCACATACACCGTACTGACACCTTTTCACTGCGATAAACTCCGTGACTGGGATTGTCTCCTATGGATATCTAATGTTTGTCTCCCCCAAATTCATTGAAAATTTATTCCTAAAGTAAAGGGCTTTTGGGGAGTGGTGAAGCTATGGAGGGTCTGCTCTTATGAATGTAAGTAATGCCCTTAGAAAAGGGTTTGAGGGAGCTGGGTATGGTGGAGCACACCTGTAATCCCAGTGATTCAGGAGGCTGAGGCAGAAGGACTGCAAGTTCAAGGCCGGCCTCAGCAACTTAGTGAGGCCCTGTCTCAAAAAGATATCATAAATAGTTGGGGATGTAGCTCAGTGGTAGAGCATCCTTTGGTTCAATCCCCTGGATCAAAAAACAAAGGGCTTGAGGGGAACAAGTTTGTCCCTATTGTGAGGACAGGGTTTGCCCTTTCTTTCATGAGAGGATGCAGCAAGAAGACACCATGTTGGAGAGCAAGCCTTTATGGCTGCTGAATCTCTGGCAGCAGAGATTCATTGTCAACTTCCCAGCTTCCCAGGGCTTCCCAGAACTGAGAAATAAATGTCTGTTGTTTATAAATGACTCAGTCTAATTAAAAAAAAAATCAGCTGGGTGCGGTGATGCATACTTATAATCCTGCAGCTCCGGAGGCTGAGGCAGGAGGACTGCAAGTTTGTAGCCAGACTCAGCAAAAGTGCAGTGCTAAGCAACTCTGTGATCCAGTGCCCCTGAGTTCAATCCCTGGTACTTGCAACACCCCTACCTCACCACCACCAAAAAAAATCCACCCTAATGGATCAAGACAGGTGAGCTGAGTATTTCCAAAATCATGAAGTCCTGGTTTCAGGTCGACAGTTCCTCCCTCAATTTCTCTCTCTCCTTCCACATAAAGAAGACAGCAGCCTTCACCTCCAGAACATTTCTTGGAAATCTTCTCATGTGAAATATCCAAGGTCATCACTTATCCAAGTTGTACTTTCCACATAGCAGGACACAGTGCCCTTCAGCTTTTGGCCACTATATCATAACCATCTCCTTTCCTCCTGTTTCCAATAAAACATTTCACATTTTTTTTCTGAGTCCTCCCCAGTAGCATCTTTACCATCTCATTTCTACAGTCTGTTCACAACAGTTTAGATATCCTCTAAAGGGACTGAAGTCTCCTCTGCTTTCTCGCTCTTCTGCTTTTTAAGACCAGGCACAATTGCCTTGGGCCCCCAGAAGGGTCTCAGTCATCCCACAACAGCCTTAATTTTACCTGCAACCTCAATTTCTCCTTGTCTCAAAGGTCCAGGGATTAGGATGTGAGCATCTTGAGGGGAGCGTTAATCTGCCTGTCACAGCCCTCTGACCATATCTCGCCTCAAAAGAAGCCCCTCTCCTCCACGCCAGGAGTCTCTTGTCCCCAAGGCCCTCCTAGGGCTCTGGAAACCTTTGGGGGCCTCCCGGGCCCAGGCTGGCTGGTGCCCTAGACCTTGGGCCAGGTCTGGGACACACCCTCCTTTCCTCTCTTGCTCTGCAGCAACCCAAGTTCCCAGCATCACAGAGACAGGACTTTGCCCCAGATAAATCACATCGAGATGGGCTTGTCAAATGGCGCTTGGTTTTCAGAAGTGCCACTCCCACACACCCTCTCATGGACAGTCAGGGAGCCTGCCTATATACTTCTTTTTTTGTGTGTGTGTGTGGAAACACTGCTGGGGATGGAACCGAGGGCCTTGCACATGCAAGGCAAGCTCTCTTCCGTTGAGTTATACCCCAGCCTCTGAAATATGATTGTGCAAAGCCTCTAACAGGGAGTCATCAGCTTGGGTTGGTCCACCATTTTTATTTTCCCTTCTGTGCATCCACTTGGGAAATCAAGGTGGGAATTCTGTTCTCAGTTGCACAGAAGTGCTGAATAGAAAGGCACCTTTGGTGGGTGGTAGACACGTAGTTATAGGCTAAATGCAGAAGCTGAAGCTTAAATATGTAACGGCCCAACAGTGTCTTTATATGAGGCAGCAGGGTTGCAAGACTGTTGTGCCTGGATGCTACTTGTTCTGGCTGAGTATGTCTGCGCTGGCCAATGCAAGCAATGGGAAACAAATGCAGATGGGTTGGGGAAATACCAAGCAACTGATACCATTTGTCTCTCAGGGTCACCTTGAAAGGAAAGCCCAACAGGCGGAAGAGTCTGGGGGGGAGGCAGCTTACACGGGGCTTGTCAGGCAGGGTTTTTTTTTTTTAGTCCAAATTAGGATCCCATGGTGGGGGCCCCAAGAGAGGCTGTTTCATGCACAGCCTTCTGGAGGGGTGGTTTTATCTCAGAAGTCCCATGGGTGGATAGGTGTTGTCATCTCAGGTACCAGGGTTCAGAGTCTAAGTCTTTAGACTCTAGTGGGATCCAGCGCCAGAGGGGCAAGGAGAGTTAGCCTCCTCCAGGATCTTGAGGCAGAGAGCTTGGTTAGGCAGAAGGTCATAGTCATGGACACATTTACTCAGCATATTAATGAATTTGTCATTGTTGGGAGGTCATTCCCTTAAGGGGTTCCTGCATG